TTTTTCATAAATAGGGCTAGATATTACATTTATAATCCTTATTAATTAATTAATTAATTAATTAATATAATTAATAGCCCCTCATTTTACCCTTGCATAACCAATGTCACTCTCTTGGTGGCCGGCAGGATAGTCCGATGGTGGCAGCAGCCCGACGGCGATGACCGGTAGCCACCAGCAGTCCAATAATCTGGCGGCGCCACTGCTACATCTTCTAAGGATGTTTTTGTCCAGTCACAAATAATAAGTGTTATTTATGGAATTTAAACATTAGATCCTATTTAAGTCTTAATTGTTTGAAGAAATAATGAGTGCAATGCCTAATAACTGCTTGCAATGTTCCATTCATTGGATACTCCAAAAAGTATGTGAACAACTTTTAATGAACAGAAGGAATCAAAGAGACACTGCAACATGAATTTTGTTGTTTCTTAGCTTGGAACCATTGAAATTTTTGTATGACAATAAAGTCGGAATTACTGAACTTTTCTTTGCTACTTAAAAGTTAGAGAAAATACGAATTGATAGGTTTCACACTTTCACGTACATATGCAAAAGTAAGAAAAGGAAACAAGGTTGTCACCGGCAACGATACAACAATTGAAATAAATTTGAAAATGGGAAAAATTTGAAGTCAACAAATACTTGTTTGAAGATTGTGATGATCTTACATCTTAGATAATTTTCTCACCGACGTGAAAACTTTGGGTCAACGTAACCCACATAACTATATGATAGAGAATATGCGAGTAAACTAAACTATGCGTGTTTAATTGTTGTAATAAATTGAGTTTCTTTAAGACAAACAACAATAACATAAGCATTAGGGGCATTTAAAATTTTATTAGACAGTGCTATTTATAAAATTAGGCTAATATAACAGAAGTATATATATATATATATATATATATATATATATATATATATATATATATATATATATATATATAATTACAGCATATGCGGAATATAATTTAAGAATCGAGATGTAGCTATAGTTACTATTGATATATGTCAACGTAGTATTATTATAGTTAATCATTGGAGTGACTTAGGCATGGACAAGTTTCCGGTCCGAGCTCGTCCCGGTCCCGAACCGGCCGATGTTTGAAAAACATATAGACTTATAGAGAATCGATACCTCTATTTTTTATTGGGGTGAATAAAAATTGAAAAAACGAATCTGACTAACACAAACCGAAACCGATCAAAACTGAACCGATAAAACCGAAACCGACTGAAAGTTACTAATTCATCAGTTATTCGGTTTATGGTTAATACTTTTGCCATAAAAATCGGTCAAATGAAAACATACCAACAAAAGTCGGCAAAAACGGCTAAAATCGACCGAAAACGACACTGATAGAGTATATGGGCCCAAAGCCTATGACCCACATACTCAGAAGACCGATGTCGAGACAACTGACACATGGCCGGCTCCATCGGCCACACAAGAGTCATCCGGAAGCCCGGGAACAGAAGACCAGTGTCTCTTGTATTATGGTGTCCTTTCGATCAGACCATCCATCCACCAGGCCTTTCCTCGGCCTCGACATCACCAGTAGGCTATATTTTGTACTCCCTCCGTCCCTTATCACTTTGTCAACTTTCCTTTTTTGGTTGTTCCAAAAACTTGCCACTTTCCCTTTTAATTAATCAATTTGTGGTTCATGTTATTTCTCTCTCCTCTGCACAAATCTCAACCACACATTTTTTATTTTATTATTCTACGTGCCGGTCAAACTTGGCAATCATTTTAGGGACGGAGGTAGTATTTAACTCTGGAAATCATGTAATCAGCCTATTAGAGGCCTTATCTTGTACCGAGCCTCCGAGACCCAAGTCATGGGAGCTCAACCCACGTTTCCTTTATAAACACTCCCCTTGGAGGTAGTTGTAGGGAGTTGAGAAATATTAATTACAAACTTTCTTTCTTTAGCTTTCACTTTTCTCTAAATCTCTATTCTATCAAACACGAATTGACCGAAATTGACTCAAGTTTTGCGGTCCAATTCTCGGTTTTATCTAAAAGTTGCTAAAACCGGCCAACTAAAAACCGAAACTAGCCAAAAACCGAAACCGACTAAAACCGAACCGATAAAATTGAAACCGACAAAACGAACCGACGAACACTCCTAATTTTTTTATACTTTCAAGTTTTAAACCTTCTCCATCCACGTCTACACATCTTTTAAGTTTTTAAATGGGTCCTCAACCCTTGTGAAATGTTTTCCAATAGTTTAATACTTCCTCTGTTCCACTACAATTGTCCTATTTCTTCTTTTTTCGTCTATCCCACTAAATTTGTCTCATACCATATTAGATAATATTCGTGTAGTTCTAATTCATTCTTACTTTATTCTCATTTTATCAACTCATTATCAACCACATAATTCTATTTTTCTTAAAAATCACACCACTCTCTTCCGTCTCAATATTAGGGGGCGGAGGTTATAGCAAAAATACAAAAAACTTTTCTGGTCCCATTCTAAAAAAATGGAAGCTCAGGACTGAGACTTCTTTCCCACATGTTCCAATTCCAAACTAAAACCTTCTTTTTCAATCCCGATTCAAAATCGGGCAGTGACCCGATTTCGGGACCGGGATTGAGTCAATGTCTAGCAGTGAGCATGGCTGCATGGGACATTAAAAGATAGTTATGTCATGTCAAGATGCTTTTTATATGGTGCGTAAAAATTGTACACATTTTATATACACCTCACACTTACATTTTATTACATATTAGAGTTAAAAATTCATTAACAAGCTAGGTTCCCTAGCATTGAAATTTTTGAATATTTTCACTGAAAGCAATTTTCCCATCTTTTGAAGATTTGTAGAGTTACATATTTTCACAACATTTTTTTTTAGAATAGGACTTCGATGTTGTTACTACCTCCATCTCAAAATGATGGTCCTGTATTTGCTATTTGGGGTGTCTCAAAATGATAGTCATGTTTCCCTTTTTGGTAAAGAAATTAAAGTAGATTACCATTTATACCTCTCCTTTTTAATGAACAATAAAAGTAAAAGAGTGAACAGTACAATAAAGTAAGGTTATATGAGTCTTTCTACCACACTTTCTTAATATTTGAGCCCAAGAAATATAGGACCATCAATTTGGGACGGAGTGAGTACTTGTTATTGAAGATTTATGGATATTTTCAGTTAAATTAAAATTCTCCAATATGATAAGTTACTATGTATATTTTACTATTATCTAAACTTAATTAGTTAAGCCTTATATGATCCAATTAAGTCTTATCCAAACTAAATCTAAACCCGATTCAAGTGATACATGAGTTATTATTGGAATGTATGTCCAATGTAAGGATGGGCCCGAGCGGCTTGACTCGGGACCTATACTATTGGGCCCAGCAAGGGCCCGATTTTCATGGACCGGTATTGGCCCGATACTTGGACCCGTGGTTATGGGTGGGTCCTAACTCGAGACCGATACTAGGCATGGACTTGGGCCGGTCCGGATCGGGCCTCAAGCAGGTCCAGCCGGGCTTTTTTTGTGTTGTTGAGACCCGAAACCAGCCTGGGTAGCTACCAGGTCCAAGTCAGGCCCTAGCCGAGTACATACTTTTTTTTTTAATTTTCTAATTACTTCCTACCCCCCACCCACCCCCCACACCACACACCCCTCCAAAACACCCAGCTCAACCAAAGAATTTGAAAAAAAAATGGCCCAACCCGAGCCCGGCCAGGCCGGTTCATTTTTCTTAGACCCGAAGCCCACCCCGAAAAAATACGGTCCAAGTGGCCCGGGCCGGTGTCACGCCGATTGACCCGGCCCGAGTCCATCCCTACCCAATACTACTTGGGCTTGGACAAAAACCGGTACCGGAGCATACCGCATTGGTACCGGACTTCACTTTTCCAGAACAGTTACCACCAGCCCAGGTCCATCCATAGTCCATTGGGTAGACGGGTGAGGTTAGGGTTGGATTCGGTTCAGGCCACCCGGCCCGGCCCGGTACTGTGCGGGCCCGGGACCGGGACCGGCCCGGGTCTAATTTTAAAAAAAAATGGTTTGGGCTACTAGCCGTTGGGGGTGGGGCTGGGGACAACCCAAACGGCTATATAGCCGTTGGGTGGGGTAAAGGGGGGGGGGGTCCGGGGGGTTGGCTGGTGGGGGGGTGGTGGGGGGTGGGGGGTAAAAAAACCTATAAATACTCATAATCTTAAACATTTTTTCATATCTCTTCTCCAATTCTTCCTAAATCTTATTCTTAACTCTCTACTCTCTAATTCTCTTATTCTCCAATATATTATATTTATTATTTATATATCTACTTTATAGTTTGTACTTAAGAAGTTAAGATGGAAAATCAAGATGCCATTATACGGTATAATTTTGATAAGCAGAAGGACCCGAAGACCGGGATGTAGTACGCAATTTGCAAATGGTGCGAGAAAAAATGTAGCATGGGGATTTCTGGCGGATTCGGAATGGCAATCAAGCATATGAAGTCATGTGACAAAGCCAAAGGATCAGGAGGTGCAGGAAGTTCCGATTGATTACAATTTTCAAAATGTTTATCTGTTAAAGTTTGTTTTAATTTTCAAATGTAGTTCCTATTTCATTTCAAATAAATGCAATTGAAGTTTATTTTTTAATACTCATATAAAACTATAAACTATAAAATATAAATTAAAAAACAAAATTAACCGGCCCGAACCGGACCCGACCCGTGACCCGGGCGGGTGGCCCAGCCCGGACCGGACCCGTCCAACCCTCGGGCCGGTCCCGGGCCCATGTCATACTACCCGGCGGCCCGACCGGGCCTAGGCCCGGCCCGAGTCCATCAATAGGTGAGGTTGTTTGGAACTGATTAGCATAAAATTTAATTACTGTATTCCTCCCCCACCAAATAATTAAGGTTATGATGGAACTTGAACTAATACTCATGCAGTCCCAACTCCAAGTCCCAAGGACCACAGTTATAGTTTACTTAATTTATTTATTATTAGTGACTGAAATTAACATACTTGAAAATCACGCTTAAAGTAATCTTAAACTGTTTTTTTAAGAAATTTTAAAGCGCAAAACATGTAATATAATGAAATTCGATGCTAGTATTTGATATACAAAACTGGAGCATAAAAGATGGTTGGATTAAACACAATAAAAAGCCCACCGGAATGTGGGGGACAAAACTTCTCATCTGTTTGCGCAAAACAGTGCATAAACTTTGAAAAAAAAGTGCAATGAAAAATTCCCAGAGGTAGTAAATAAATTCAACTGGTTTCAGATTTCTTGGACTTCTTAATCTCTCTCCTCCTTTCCTCCAAGCGAGCGACTTTATCCTTCTTACGTTTTATTCCAATCTGAAAAAGAAAAAAGAGGTCATGAGTACCCCGCAAATATTGCATGTTTGACGATTATATTATAGGGCTTGTATACAAAAGCAAAATGGTCTAGTAAACATATCAAGTGCCTGTACGAATGATGTGTAGTTCATGAACCTCAAGACTTAAGTGCCTTATCAAACCATTCTTTCACCACACAAATATGGGGTTTTGACCTCGATATTACTAATAAATGGGCAATGGACAAACATGTGCCATTTTTATTTAATTGTATAATAATCAGAATAAATAAGGTTGGATTAGTCAAAGTTATTGTAGATGATCACATTAACTATTTTCATTATCCGTATAAGTTTTTAATAAAATATTTTTTAAATATAATTTTTCAAAATTCATCATATTCAGCCACTTCTACCCGAACTAAATCAATTTCAGTACAATTAGCCAATATTCAGCCAAATTCAATCTTACCAAACAGGCTCTATATTGCCAAACATTGACCTTGGAACTTTAGTTGTCTTTTGTAATCAAAAGAACTTCTCAGCAATTTCTTTTGACTAAAGAACACCCTATCTAGTCCAAAACCTTTGATTAGTTGGAAGGAAATAGGATACATTCATACATAAACCTCAGATAGAAGTTGGAGAAATACTTATCTACCTATTTGGTGGACAGAAATGAAAATGGCACCTCCCACCACTTTTTTGTTTGTTCTCTATATTAGAGAGGAAAAGAGGGAATTTATTTCTCAATTTCTATTGATTTCTTCTCCAACTCTCTTTCAACCGGACAACACGCAAATGCCCGATATTTCTCTATCCTCCATCTCTGCTCATCCCACACATTTCTCTCTTCCCTAATTCTTCTCTAAACAAAACAAAGGGTAAATGAGATAGCACAAGAAGATCAGTAATGTTACCTCCATTGCCTCTTTGATTTTCCTCATTTTGCGGGACATGCCAATTTTGGACATTGTCTCATCATCATTGACAATTTGTTGTGTATCAGGAACAAATTCAGGACTAGCATTGTTGTCCTCTGAAAGATTATTCTCACTCTCTTTGGAAAGTGCTGAGTATTGAACGCCTTGAAGCTCCTTTTTTAATTCTTCATGATACTGCTTCTCTAGAGCAGACATCTGCATTTGACAACATGGAACATAGGTGACAGGCAAATAAAATATCATTGTTGGGCTTCTTTACAAAAGATTAAAATGCACTACATAAAAATGACAACAGAGAATGCAGCTTGTAAAAATGTCAAAAGACTGAACTTGTAATCAACTGTATTTTATAGACATGAAAATGCAACACCAGTTCCATGCATATCACTATCAAGAGGGCCAAGATATGACACACTTCTGTAAAACTTTACCATTTGAATTGGCAAGTTCTCAAATCTGAACTGTTAAAATAAAACAAAATCACTCACTGTAGCACTAATTGTACTGACGTTGTTATATTTAACTTTACACTCTATTGACCGTGACACTCCACTAACAATAAGTAGTCACATTTTTGTCCATGAGTTCTGTTTTAGTGATCATTAAAAAAATCCCTTTTCTATTTATATTCTCTTTGGTTTATTTTGAACATTGAATAGATCTTTGCCGAATATATCCTTTATATACATGTTATCCTATACAGGGTATTCAGGGTTCAATTACTGTTTACTGGAAGATTGGAATGTGTTTTATAAGATAAACAAGTTTGGATGCTCAATTGTTAAATTGTGAAAGGTTAAAGAGCATATTTGACCATTTTCTCTTATTTAATTACTTAGCTTCTTATTAGAATTAGACAGAGTTCTTATTCTTAAATATATAATGACTAAATTTGATTTTTGTATTTACGGAGTATTTAATATTTCTCCAGACCTTTTTTACAAAAATAAACACAAGTAACTTACAATTTGCTTTTTCTGATCAGCTTCAATAGCTTTTGCACGGTCACTAATACCCTCCATCAGTCTATTCTGAGGATCATCCAAATCTTCTGCACCAAGACCAGGCATTGGGAGGACTTCTTTTGTTGCAGCAGTGCAAATTCGCTTGATGGTCTCAGCATATTCAGGCATATAACCTTCTGTTTCATTGTCAACAAAAGGAGACAAGTGTGGAGGGGGGACCCTGTATGGCATATTTTGCAGTTAGTTATAATACTCATGTCTCTAAATGATCTTCAAATTACTTTTATCCGTCCAAACTACAACTGATTTCATTTCTAAGGAAAGTTGTACGTGGTTCAAATTATTTCTATCTTCTAACTAATATCATCCACAGAGTTATGATTTTTTGGAGCATCGTGCTAAGTCAAAGTGGATGCTAATTTAGGGAGGTTTCAAGAGCAAAATTGGTAAAAACGAAAACTTCTCATATACCTCCCAACAAAGTAAGGCTCAGTAGGCAATTTGATGCGATTGTTTATGCAATCATAAACCCACTGTGGTTGAACATATTCCCGAGAAAGAAATCTGCGACCCTGTGTTGGCCTATCAACGATCTGGACCAATACACAAGCAAACAATTCAAGCTACTAATAATGTAGGCTTCAGAGATAATATCCAGGATTTAAACAACAAAGGAAATAATATTACGAGGTATTATTGAATTTTAAGTTGAACAGGGTAGGCAAGTAAGCACTGAATAGCTTGTGGATTGCAAACCTGATGAGTAATACTCTGATCAGATTCATTAAATGGGGCTCCTTCTCCTTCCCACGAGACAATACCACCAAAAGCAGGGATAACAAAAAGAAGAGACTCCCTGGGAACCTAAACATCAAATCAAATTAAACGATATTCTTATTTGAATTAGTGTGAAGACTCGGTTTAACAGATAAGCTAAAAATGTTGAACTAAATAAACAGTAAATTTAGCACTATAGAATGCACATGATACAAAATTTATGAAGTATGGACAGGACTCACATAATATATATTATGAAGAATGTTTTAGGAAGCACATGATACAAATATGAGAAATTGCCTTAAATAGGAGTAAACTACTTTGGGGGTTCCAAAATAGGACTACTATGTTTTTCTTCCCGAAATAGGAGTAGTTATTGTCATGATTGAAAAATACAGCCATGATTGAAAAATAATGCGTTACAAAATAGGAGTAAACTACTTTGGGGATTCTAAAATAGGACTACTATGTTTTTCTTCCCGAAATAGGAGTAGTTACTGTCATGATTGAAAAATACAGCCATGATTGAAAAATAATGCGTTACAAAATAGGAGTAAACTACTTTGGGGATTCTAAAATAGGACTACTATGTTTTTCTTTCCGAAATAGGAGTAGTTACTGTTACAAAGCTCGACCTCTTCCTCCTCTCAAACTACTGGAAACATTACGTTTCCAGCAGTTTTTACACATCCTATTCCAATCAAACTTGATTCGAACAACTACCTTCTCTGGAAGCATCACGTTGAATCAGTTATCCGAGCACACAAATTACTCAAGTTTGTGGAAAATCCGAAGATTCCTGATCAATTTGTCGATGGCGACTATGAAGAAAACAAGACGATCAATGATGCGTACACTGTACGGGAACAACAGGACCAAATGCTATTTTCATGGCTGCTTTTTTCTCTATCCGAGTCACTTCATGCTCGAGTCATCCATTGTGAACACTCACATGAGCTTTGGAGTACAATTCGGAAATTCTTCCAGTCATCTATTGTCGCAAGGGCAAGACAGCTCAAATCTGAGCTCTATAACACTGGAAAAGGCGATACATCGATTTCAGAATATCTTCTTCGGATTCAAACAATTGTTGATAATCTCATCTCAGTTAGAGAACCGATATCCAACAAAGACCACATCAACGTAATTCTCGAAGGCCTTCCAGAGGAGTACGAGTCTCTTGTATCATCAGTAACTTCTCGAAGCATTCTAGATCCGATAACTGTTTCTGAACTTGAACCTCTATTGTTACTCAAGGAAATGCAACTGAAAAAGCTTCGCGAAGCCGCCTCACAAAACATTTTCTCTGCTAATATTGCTCGTGTTGATGCTTCGCCTCCAAATACCAATCCTGATGCTCGTGTTGAAGCTCATACAGCATCAGAAACCTCAACTGCCAATATTGCTCAGTTCAATAACCCTAATCACACTAATTCCTACAAAGGAAGAGGACGTGGTGGCTCCAGCAGAGGTCGAGGTGGTCGCTTTGGAGGTCGTAGCTCTATTATCTGCCAGGTATGTGGAAAATCAGGCCATCATGCCTCGATCTGCTATCATCGCTATAACCCTGCCTTCTCCAATCCAAATCCTAATCCAGCTTATGCTAATCCTATCATTGGACACTCTAACCATTGGAACTCCCAGTCACCAAATCCATATTATCAACCTCATATTACTTATCAACCTTCCTACACTCCTAAACCACACACCTATCAACATTACAATTCTCCAACACCTTCTATTAATCCCTTCAACCAGCAATCTTCCACTCCAACTCCAGAAACATTTACTTTGGAACCACATTCTTGCAGGCCTTCTGCAGCCTTTGCCAGTGCTAATTCTTCAATTCTGGGACCAGCTCCATCTAACAAATCATGGTTCCCAAATTCAGGTGCAACACATCACATAACTGCTGATCCACTGAATTTCCAGCATAATGAACCCCTTGCTACAAGTCTACAACTGACAAGCTCTTTATGGGCAATGGTCAAGGTTTGGATATACAGTCTATAGGTTTTTCTTCCTTTCCTTCACCCTTTCTTACTTCTCAGTATCTTAAACTCAATAATATTCTTCATGTTCCCACAATAACCAAAAATCTGTTGAGTGTTAGTCAATTTGGTAGAGACAATAATGTCTATTTTGAATTCTATCCTCATGATTGCTATGTCAAATCTCAGGTTTCTAAACAAGTCCTTTTACATGGAGTCTTTGGTGCAGATGGTCTGTACAAGTTCCAGTCCATACCTCCTCTTGGTTCATATCAATCTCCTGCTGCCAGTCTGCCTGTCTCTATAGGGTCTACAACAAATAAAACTGTTCATCCTGTTTCTTTTGTTTCCACTTGTAATAAGTCTCAAATATGTACTGCACCAGTTTCTTGTAATTTGTGGCATTTAAGACTAGGGAATCCACATTTTGAAGCACTCAAATCTGTACTCCAATATTGTAATGTGTCCACAATTAATAAAAGTGATCTCTTTCTGCTCTTCTTGTTGTCTTGGAAAGGCACACAGATTACCTACACATTCTTCTAACATTGTTCATCATTGACCATTTGAACTAATCTTTACTGATTTGTGGGGGCCAGCACCAGTATTATCCTTTGATGGATATCCATACTACATATCATTTATAGATGCCTTTACAAGATATACTTGGATCTATTTTTTGAAAAAGAAATCCGATGCCCTCACAGCCTTTCAAAACTTCTATCAGTATGTTATGACTCAATTTTCCACTCCTATTAAATCTATTCAATCTGACTGGAGAGGGGAATTTAGATCCTTAGCAGTTTTCTCACTGAAAAAGGCATCACTCATAGGTTAATCTGTCCACACACATCACCAAAATGGTGTTGTGGAAAGAAAACACAGGACTATTGTGGAGAAAGGCCTATCCATTTTAGCTCATTCTTCCTTGCCTTTCAAATTCTGGGACACAGCTTTTGCAACCTCAGTTCACCTTCTAAATAGAACACCATCCAAATCAATTGCAAATTCCAGTCCTTATTTCAAACTTTATGGATCTATTCCAGACCATTCCATTCTCAAAGTCTTTGGTTGTTCTTGTTATCCATTCATTTGACCTTACAACAAACATAAAATGGATTTTGACTCTGAAGAGTGTATTTTTATAGGTTACTCACCTCAACACAAAGGTTATAAATGCCTCTCATCTTCTGGAAAAGTGTATATCTCCAAAGATGTCATATTTCATGAAACTAAATTTCCCTACTCACTTCTCTTTCCTTCATCATCATCTACTTCCACTACTCCACAGCCTTCCCTTTCTGCTCCTCTCACTGTCATTCATCCTCAACCAACTCAGTCTTCTCTTGAATCCTCTTTCCCATTCCAATGAATCTCAGTCAACTGCTTCTGAACTACACAGTTCATTTCACTCATCCTCCCAGTTCTCATGGTGTCCAAGGTCAGCCTCTCAATTCTCATCATTTGTCTCCAAATCAGTCTCCTTCTGTATCCTCCTCATCTTCTACTTCACCTTCTCCTCCTCCAACTAACACTCATCCTATGCAAACCAGGGCAAAGTCAGAAATTATCAAACCTAGACTAAATCCTACCTTACTATTAGCTCATACTGAGCCTAAATCAGTTAAGCAAGCTCTTTCCTCTCCTCGGTGATTTTCAGCTATGGAGACTGAATATGATGCTTTAATGGCAAATAAAACATGGTCCTTAGTTCCTCTACCTCCTGATAAGCAAGCTGTTGGATGCAAATGGGTTTTCAGAGTTAAAGAAAACTCTGATGGCTCTCGAAACAAATTCAAAGCCAGATTAGTTGCTAAAGGGTTTCATCAAAGGTTCAGAATTCTACTTACCTTGGCAGTTTCCCATAACTGGTGTATTCAACAACTTGATGTAAATAATGCCTTTCTAAATGGCACTCTTGAGGAAGAGGTCTATATGCTTCAACCCCCAGGTTTTGAAGCCAAGGATACTTCTCTTGTTTGTAAACTGCATAAATCCTTGTATGGCCTTATACAGGCTCCAAGGGCTTGGTTCCAAAAACTGACTTCTGTTCTCTATGCTGCTGGATTCAAACAGAGTAAATCTGACCCATCTCTCCTCATTTTTCTGTCCTCCAATATTCATATCTATGTCTTAATCTATGTAGATGACATCTTGGTTATTGGGAATAATTCTACTGCCATCCAACAGCTTATCCACAAACTGCATTCCTCATTCTCTCTCAAACATTTGGGAGACATTGATTTCTTTCTAGGAATTGAAGTCAGAAAGCTAAGAAATGGTAGTCTACATCTTTCTCAAACAAAATATGTGAGAGATTTTCTGCATAAAGCTGGAATGCTTGATTCCAAATGAGTAAAAACTCTTATGGTAAGAAGCTGCAAACTCACCAACTCAGGGAGTGACAATTTACCTGACCCCTATACTTACATATCTATAGTTGGGGTTTTACAGTATGCTACTCTCACACGGCCAGAGATTAGCTATGCAGTAAATAAAGTTTGCCAATTCATGGCCACACCTCTACAGGATCATTGGAAAGCAGTGAAACACATTCTCAGATATCTCTCTGGCACTATACATCATGGCATCATTATTCAACCTCTTCCTCTGCAAACCATACCTCTACCAATCTCTGCATTCTGTGATGCTGACTGGGCATCTAATCCTGTTGATAGAAAATCTACTTCTGGATCTTGCATCTTTCTTGGTCCAAATATCATCTCTTGGTGGTCCAAGAAGCAATTAAGAGTGGCCAGATCTTCAGCAGAAGCTGAATATAGAAGTCTAGCAGACACAACAGCTGAAATCCTATGGGTTCAATTTCTACTTAAGGAGCTTCAAGTTCCTTTTGCCATTCCCAAAGTTTATTGTGACAATCTCAGCACAGTACAGCTTGCACACAATCCTGTGCTACATTCTCGCATCAAACATATGGAAATTGATCTGTTCTTTGTTAGAGAAAAAGTTCAATCTAAACAACTTGAAGTATTCCATATTCCAGCCCCTTATCAAGTTGTTGATGTTCTCACAAAACCCTTGCCTGCCTCATCCTTCCTTGAATTCAGAACCAAACTTTGTGTGATTGATCTTCCCAATCAATCACCCTAATTTTGATGGGGGGATGTTAGGAATACTATATGCACGCTTCTTGTAATAGTCTAGTATTAAAGTCTAGCTGTTATAGTTAGTTAAGTTGTAATGTTGTGTCTGTTATAAGTCGGTTAGAGCTTTAGCTCTATAAATACTCCTGTACTGTTATTCTGAGAGTTAATGAAAATCATAATTCATCTTCTCTATTACATTCTGTTACTTTTCTAATAATTAAGAATGTTTTAGGAAGCACATGATACATATTGGAATATTGGAATACATTGTAGAATGAAAATTATCGAAGCTCCACCAGCAAAAATTGGCACAACCAATACATGATTGCCTTGCTTAGTGGCAGCCTGGCAGAATCATTTGGATTTATAGCCATTAGCCAACTATGCCAAAAAATTGGTTGTAATTATTTTGTATTCTTTTTCAGATTAAGTAATCATCATCATAATAATAGCAAGATACTTTTAAATTATGGGAGACATAAAAACTACTGTTATGGACATTATAAAATTAAAAAATAGTCACAACAATGCATGATTGTGTTGTTTAGTGGCAGGCTGGCAGACCTATAAGGATTTATATCAAACCATGTCATACACAATCTGTCAGTCAGTTGTATTTTTTCTATATTCATTTTCAGTTGGAATTTGGAGACATAAAAATGGTTGGAATTAAATGGTTGAAATTCGGAGACATAAAAATGCTGTCAGTAACATTTTAAATTTACAAAAAAAACATTGCAGAACATGATAAATGATAATTAACTTTTCTTAAGGTTACAGACAATAATCAATTTTCTGAAGGAAGAAAATGTATCTACCTCACGACTTAGGAAGAATGTCAATCCTTCCAAGAGGGACTTGCATTCCTTTGTTTCAGCATCATCATCATCTTCGCCAGCTTCCTCGTTAAGTAGGTGCATCAAAGCACCTGGCTCATTTGAAGGAAGTTGGTGTTGAAGCTGTGCAAGTCTCAGATCCGACTCCTCAAGCTCTCTCTGTGCATCCTGATCATCAGTCTTCACAGACTCAGATAGATCAATGGCTTCAGACTCCACACCAGACTCCACACCAGAAGCTCTGTTTCTTGCATCAAATAGCCTCGACAGTGCATACAGATCTGTGATGTTCCATAACTATCAAATAGTATTCATATTTTAATTTTAAAACCCCTGATAAACTGAATGTTATAAAATAAGAAACGGTACCATCTGCTAACTCTTCGAGGCGAGAGTCAAGGATAGGTGGATATTTAACATTTAATGAATGATAAAGCTTGAAGTTGACAAAAGCAAGGAGCGTCTGTGCACAATAATAAAGCCATTGTCAGCAATAATACAACCTAAACAAGAATGAGGAAAAAAGTCTACCATACATTAGCTTTTCATAATACTGCACTATTTTTTCATGAAAGTTAGAGAAAGGCTCTTAACTCTTAAACATAAAAAGTGAACTGCTGGGGTAGGACCAAATCTAAGTGGCAAATGTTAAATCTAGTGAATGTTAGCAGGTATTAGAACAACAACAACAACAAACAACAACAAACAAACTCCATCCAAGCCTTATTCCTAAAAGAGTTTGGGGTCAGCTAACTTGAATCAACATAAGACATCAGAGTAAGCACGTCCTAGAAGTGAGTGTTATTAACTCACTCCTACAAAGAATCAAAATTATAAACCCATTCTTTCTATCAGGGGTTGCGTGCAGCCAAGAATCCTAACTCAAAGACATTTAGTAAACTACATATGATAAACAACAAAACTAAACATTCTAACCTCATAAAATTCCAAAAAAGTCAGCAATATCTTATAATCAACATCATCAGGTAGTACTTGCTGTAGGGCATGGGGAGTTAGCCATGTGATTTTTTGCCCTTCGATCTCAGCCTAACACAAGATGTATTGCACTTGCAAATCATTATAAAAGACTCCAAGGAGATAGATATTAAAAAAAATCACAAATGAAAGGATATTGTGATACCTGATAATATATTCCTTTAACAGATATAAATGCTTTTCGTAGTTTATGGGTGCGAGAAACATATGCTTGCCACTCGTGACTCAGCCTGATACACCATGAAAAGAAAGTGTTTAGCAGAACTACGATGCAAGTAAGAGAATAACAGGTAGAGTACATTGAAAGGCAAAAACCAAATAAATGAACAAAGGCTACTAAAATGACAAGTAGATGACCTTCGACAGTTATGGATACGTTTTACTGGAATATTTTCTCTTCGTACTGCAGGCAATGCAGCAAACAGGTGCACCATGCTCAGACAATCATCCAAATCTCTTAATGCATCAATGAATTTTGGATACCTATAAGGGTGCAAAGTAGCTAGGGTCAGCCTAGATGCCCATCGATATGCTAGCACAACAAATGTCCAACCATATGAACACGGCCAACCTCTCTCGGATAAGCATATCTAAAGTATAGGTAGGTTTTGAAGCCAACAGGCGGTCAGCAAGATCCTTGTTCTTCTTGGCCAATGCCTTGTTAACCTTCTTCTCATAAGCACGCATCTCTCTGAACTTCTCAAGTAGTGGTTCTCGTTTAAGGAACATAATATCTTTCGTGTGATAATATGTTTGATGGTTTCCCTTCACTTTCTTCTTTGGTTCTCGTGGAAATATACCTTTGAGGATGCATAGCTTCCTGTATTAAAGTAGTACATCAATAAGTGGTCAATAACTTCAAATACTCAAAACATTTCGAAACTTGACAAATTGCAAACTTTCTTATCAGTAACAAGTCTTAGGCAGAAAAAAGGGTGGGTGTTTAACTACAGAGAAACACTTTTCTGAGCTTTATGTCAGTAAATTATAAATTATAAATTGGATAAGAAAACAATCAGTAGAAGTGGAGCAAAAGCAATGTGATGGACGCCAACCTGAAAAGTGATATACTGACTTGGAGTTCCTTGATAGATTTTGATCTTGTAATGAATCTGGCTGCATTCCCTTCCTTTTTCTTGCCCTGAAACACGAAAATATAAGCAACCGTTGGATACTGACGAATCAAAAAGAAAGCAGGAGAAGACTCGTTAGCTCACCGCAGGCCTGTAGTGCTTAGGCATGGCTGCCCCGCCGCTGCAGATTGGAGTTAGGAATAGTAGTAGCGGCGATTACTTCAAAGACAGTGTACGCTGCAGATTGTGTGCTCGCTGCAGCTTGGAGTTAGGGCATTAGTTGAGGCACCTCCCAAATTAGTATGGGCACCCCCTTTTTTACAAAACTGACCCTAGTTTTATTTTGTTTTGTGATACTCCCGGGGTAGAACCGTAGAAGGATGTGTGTTTTCAGGTCTAGATCAGATCAAGTCAAACCAGACTTCCCGGGTAAAACAAACCAGAACAGATCAGCAAATTTAAGTCCAAGTAAAAACATCTTAATTTTCTCATTTTTATTTTCCATGTGTTCCATTAAATTTGTCACATACTCTCTTCGATCCCAAAAGAACTTCAATGTTTGACTACGATTTTAAAAAAATGGAATTTTTTGTTTAAACTTTCCCATTATGTCCCTAAAGAAAATTTACCCCCATCTAATCAAAGTAAAAAAACTGCCAACACTTGTATTGATAAAGCAGATAGTGAAGCAAATTAAGGACGGAAGATTTCCCTTTTTCGCTTCCCTCCAAAATTCAACTGTAAGAGCTCGTTTGGTAACATTGAAATTGACCGAATCGGCTGATTCTGCTGAAATTTATGAAATTCTGGCTACATTTGTTGACTCTGTTGATTTGTGAAAATTTATATTTAAAATATATTTTATTAATAAAATAAAATAAAAAAATTACATGAAAAAATAGCTAAAATGATCCTCTACAGTAATTTCAGCCAATATAGACAGAAAAGTGACTCCAACCTTACTTATTTTTATTATTACACAATTTAGCGCGCGAAATCAAAAGCTACTTATTTGATGAAAAATAGATTAATAAACCTGATAAGCCGAAAAACAGGGTCACCAAACGGGCTCTAAGTCTCACAAATCTTTTGTAGCTATAAATACTAGAGCTTTGAATACACACACAACTAAGTGGCCATTTTAATCTGAATGTGGACCCCCTTCAAGAGGAATATCATGAAGGTGTACATGCAGAACAAAACGCACACAGTCACAGCAATAATAGACCTAACAGATCTGGACTTCACTAAAGGGGTGGGGGGATACAGTGAACCCGGGAAAGAAAATGGCCTAATTGGGCTCTAAAAATTGCAACAAGCTGATTGAGAGGTTATTGGTCGTTTCTGTTGAAGGTAAACTTCAAAGGGGTGTGATACCAACATTAGTCACCCAATTTAAACTATCCACTCGGACAATTCATAGCATATGGATTCAAGCAAAGCAAGACATGCAGAGCGGGCATGTCATACATGTGGAAAGTAGAAAGAAAGGAAATGTTGGCAGAAAAAGAATAAATTTCTATATGCAAAAGATTTGCCGGATTCCCTTACATTAGAGGAAAAATCAGAGAGCACTTGCATATGCAATGGAAGACTCAAAAACACCTGTGCAAAGATGGTTTAAGAGTAAGCAGATAAGAAGACATTCAATCGCAATCAAGCCACTTCCAACAGATGCAGGCAAATTGAAAATGTTAGACTTTTGCTTATGTCAAATAAGTCCTCAATCAGTACACAAAACACCAACATTTCATGATTTCTATGATTGTGTGCACATAGATGAAAAAATGGTTTTATTTATCAAATGAAATTACCAATTCTTACACCTTTTCAACAAAAGATGATCCATACAGAATAGCTCAATCAAAGAAATTTATTACCAAAATCATGTTTCTGACTGCAATTGGGAGGCCTAGGATTGCTGACATTGGGGAGGTGGAGTGGGATGGGAAATAGGGATATTTTCATTCACATGTGAAGACATAGTCAAGAAATCAAGCAAGAACATGACTGATGGGACTTTAGAAACCAACACCCTACTCTTAGCAATCAAAGCCAAGTGACCACAGTCACAAAATCAGAAAGGTCATAAAGGGAGACCTCATAATGAAATACATGATGCAGAGTTTGTTTAATCACGATCAGAGGATGGATGGAATATGCAACTATGGTGTCAACCTCCCAACAATCCAGTTTTAAATGTATTAGACCTAGGTTTCTTTAGGGCTATTGATTTCATAAAGGATCAAAAGGCCCAAAGAACATCTTGGACTTAATAAAGGCAGTGCAAGCCTCGTATGAGGAGCTCACGTCACAACGTTGAACAAAGTCTTTTTGAGCTATCAATATATGATGGAAGAAATATTAAACAACAGAGGAGGAAACAATTTCAAGCTCAAGCATGTGGGGAAAGACAAGTTTCAAAGACAAGGGTTGAGCTCAAAAAGACTTTGTTGAGCAAAAACAGTACACCAGCAAGAAATGTCCAGATCTCCCCTGAGTTGTATGAACATTTAAGGCATTCATGGTTGAACAGATAGCAACAAACTCCACACAGTTAACCGAAAGTCTCATATCACACATGAAGATGCACAACATCTTCATACATGAAGATGCGCAACATCTTTAAGTATGAAGTAAATACTAGGGATGGCAATGGGGCAGGTTTGGGGCGGGGGTTCGCTCTCACATCCCCCGTCCCATGTCTAAAATGTTACCCTCATCCCCACCCCATCTCCCGCTACTCACAGACCCGCCACATCCCCGTTTTCCCCCACGGGTGCCCGCGGGTACCCCCATATAGATTTTATTTATCTTATTTTCATATTTTTAACTCATTTTATAGATTTTATAGATACAACAACAACAACATCCAAGCCTTAATCCCAAAAGAATTTGGGGTCGGCTAACATGAATCGATCTATGATATCGATGCCAAAAAGAGAAGGCGGACAAGAAAAGGGAAAAAAAGTAAGATAAAATGAATAAAATAAAGATACATAAATATAAGATAACAATAACACAAGAAAATAACCAAGATAAAAGAAAAATAAATAAAAGAGAATAAAAAGCTAGAAGATAAAAATAACATAAGAATATAAAAAGATAAGGAAGATAAACGATAAAAGAAACAAGAGAGGAAAGGTAGACAAGACATCAATCGTCCACATGGATGTGCATCCTCCACTTTGCTCTCTCCAAAGTCATACTCTCATCCAACCCAAGAAGACGCATATCAGTTCTGATTACTCTAATCCAAGTCTGTTTGGGTCTTCCCCTCCCTCTCTTCTCTGACTCTTCTCCCCACCCCTCAAGTCATCTAACAGGTGCATCACTGGGTCTTCTATGCACATGCCCAAACCACCGCAAACGAGACTCCTGCATCTTATCTTCTATAGGTGTTACTCCCACCTTTTGTATGATTACCTCATTCCTCAGGCGGTCTTTTCTGGTATGTCCACACATCCAACGCAACATACGCATCTCTGTCACACTCATTTTTTGAATGTGGCATTGCTTCACCGCCCAACACTCTACGCCATACATTAATGCCGGCCTAATTGTTGTACGATAAAATTTACCTTTCAGTTTAGTCAGCATACCTCGATCGCATAGAAATCTTGAAGCACTTTTCCATTTCATCCACCCAGCTCTGATTCTATGACATACATCTCCATCGAATTCACCATCCTTCTGAATTATGGATCCCAAGTAACGGAACATATCACACACCGGTATCTCCTTACCATCCAGAGTAATCCCACTTTTGCTACCACTTCTACCTCCACCGAACTTTATCTATAGATTTTATAGATAAATATAAATATATAGAGCAATAAAAGAGGTAAACTATATAATATCGTGTTTGATAAAAGTTAATTCAACCAATTTTAATAATTATTTAATTTGAATTAGTAAAAATATAAGTACACATATTATCATCTTGTATGTCGTTACAAATTTCTCATCACTTAGAATACAATTAATTAATTAATTAATTATATATATATATATATATATATATATATATTACATATACATATATGCATATGTGTTCTATTTACTCACCTTCTCACTTTTAAAATTCATATAACATTTATGAAAAATATTTTCAGTTATTATGTACTCCCTCCGTCCCTAAAAGGATTGCCAAGTTTGACCGACACGTAGAATAATAAAGTAAAAACTGTGTGGTAGAGATTTGTGCAGAAGAGAGAGAAATAACAGCAACCACAAATTGATTGATTAAAAGGGAAAGTGGCAAAGTTTTTGGGACAACCAAAAAAGGAAAGTTGGCAAAGTTATAAGGGACGGAGGGAGTATTATTATTATTATGATATAATATGTATTAATTCAAAAACAATGTATTAATTCATTAATCATGACTAATACACACATATATGCACTAATATATGTTTATATGTATATGTATGTGTTTGTTATATACTACATACTCCATAATTTACTTGAACATGTTTATACATTATTTATATATGTATGTTTGAGTTTGTATATATAATGGGAACGGGGCGGGTGTAGCAATTCCCGTCCCCCCTCCTCTGCCCCATATTTTAGCGGGGTATGAATATCTCACTCATCTCCATCCCTACCCTGTCCCAAACCCCGCCCCATCCTCCCACCACGGGGCGGTTCCCCACGGGCTCCCACCCTCATTTCCATCCTTAGTAAATACCCTTGTTGGTATAGTTTTTGAATGTTCTGTAAGTGCACTAAGCTTATAAGTACTAGGTGGTGTATTGTTTTTGTATGTACTAGATGTTAGAATAAATTTTATTGTGTTCATTTTAATTAGATTTATCTTTGTTTTTTTATCCTGAAAGGCAAACCACCAAAATCAGTGGGGCATATGCTGGGAGTCATATGCCAGAATTTTATTAATGAATCAATGAAATACAAAAGGAAGGGGACTAGGCCAAAACTTCCTTATCAAAGTAATAAAAAGAATAACAAAGCAATTCTAAAATCGGAAAGATGGGATGCCAAAAAAGTCCATCCAATAGGCCCGTTTAGCATGAACCGGTAAAGACTTTGAGCTCTCAAAAAATAAAATTTGACTGAATTGGGCCGCAGCTATGTGATGGGCCACCCAATTACATTCCCTGAATGCGTGGGAGAAGATAACCTGTTTTCTATTTGCGATGTGTAAGACTTCCTGAATCTCCCCCTTCCATCTCTTCGTCTCCCTTCCCGCAAGGTATTCCAAAGCAACCATACAGTCCGATTCAACCATGAAATCTGAATAACCTCTATCAATTATACACCAAGTAGCGAAGACGATGGCCTTCAGTTCTGCTTCAGTTGCTGAGTTCGCCTCTATAGGAAATCCCACAGCT